CCGCATAGTCGACTGCCGACTGGGATCCAGTCTAGCAGCTCCACTTGAGCCCCTTCACTGAGAACAATGCCAACGTCAGCAAGACCAGAAGCCGCAGCCTCAGGGTCCCCATAAAGGCTTAAGTGAAACTTCACGGAAGAATTGCATGGAGGCATCAGCCAAATGATGAACCTGGAGTTACAAATGCGAGTTTCTTAAAAGCAACACACATTGATGGCATGGGATTCAAGCGTACCATCCAAACTCACCAGTTGTCTTATACCCATCAGGGTTTACATGTGAATTTGGCTAGTTTGAATGAGCATTGAAGACGAAGCAGAACATCAGCCGGTGGTAGCGGGTTCGGTGAGACTCGGAAGCTAGTCGAAGACGGAGAAGAGAGAATATAGCCAGAATTTCCATCAGTAGCACTACTGCAGGCACGGTAAACCGAGGAACTCGTGGGGTGTGGGAATGGAACAGAAAGTTGAACGGGGTGGAAATAGGAGAACAAGTTTAGTACGGTGTACGACAGTTTTTCGTGCACAAGGGAGAGAAGTTAATCACAGTGGTAGAGCTTCTCATGGTTATTTGCGTTTTGAGCTATTGTACTACTCGGTCGCCCAGTTCAGAATAGGCATTTTTATTCAAGGATACACCTTTAGCCTTTGCGCAACCAAGCACGTCCTGCAAGACAGTACGGTTGGTCCATATGAGCGAATGGCCCATTGTATGGTTCATTAGCTTGTTCTCGAGGCCCTTGTGAGCCGGCGACTGAATGGTCAGTTCATTCGCCCTTTGGATTATATATATATATATATATATATATATAATATATATATATATATATATATATATATATATATATATATGGTCGGGAGTGAGTGTCGCAGGGTCCAAATTAGCTACTTGCCCTGAACACCTTTTAGAATGCTCCCAAATGGCCGTGCGTTTGTCACAGCCTCTGCTGAGGAAGTCCTACTCACTGGCTTCTCGTGGTGGAGGTATTCCTACTAAATTGAGATGGCGAAAACGAATGCCCAGCGCTTTCCACCGGGTCGGTTGACTAAGAGAGTCGGCCTAGGGAAGATGGTTAGACTCTGATTCCAAACCAACCACGGGTGGCGCATGAGGTGCACAACGGTATACTCACCTGCATCCGTGGCGGAGAGGTGAACTGGGCACCCAAGATGTTTTGTCTCATCCGAAGGGTGAATGAACTGACCATTCAGTCACCGGTTCACAATGGCTACCGCAATAAAGATATACGGTCGAAAGCTAGTGCCACTTGACCCTCGTTTACGCCGACAGTCCCCAGAGATTTTCAAGATTGCCGACGTTAATCACTCTGTTCTCGAAGTTGATTTACTTTCTAACTTTTCACTCGTGGTTGATATGAACCACTGTGTTCTTTTGAACAGCAAAGCGTCTGTTAAAACATACGGAACGGGTGTCCCCACGATCCATCTCGGAGAAGGTCCCATGACAGTACGCCCTCCGTTTTCCTCCATTTTGGACGATTTTCCGGCAGTCATCCAACCACAATACATCACCTTCACAAGCACCACACTGCGTCCAACATCACATTGTCAACAAAGGTCCACCAGCCGCAGCGTGTCTTCGCCGGTTATTACTTGAGCGCCTGTCTGTAGCAGAAGCAGAATTCGAACATATGCTAAGCTTGGGTTTAATTCACCTATCAAGCAATCTTTGGGCCTCCCCACTCCATATGGTTCCAGAGCACAACCGTGACTGGTGCCCGTGAAGTGATCACCGCGCTCTTAAAAACGCAACGGTGCCCGACCGTTACTCAATTTCACACATTCACCACTTCTTCGACAGTGCGTGTGGCAAAAGCATTTTCTCCAAACTGGATTTGGTAAGACCGCATTACGGTATTCCCAACGCGTCTCAGGGCGTTCCGAAGACTGCTATCACGACACCATTTGGGTTGTACGAATTCTTGCGTATGCATTTTAACTTGCGCAACTCCACTCAAACATTCCAGCTACTTATGGGTTAAGTTCTCCGTGGTCTGGATTTTGCTTTTGTTTATAGTGACAACGTCTTCGTTGCTAGTATGGATGAATGTTATCTAGGACTATCCGGAACCCCAATCGTTCATGAGTCTTCTTCGTTTCCAGCGCATTGTCAACTACTATTGTCGATTCATACCAAATTGTCCTGTGATCTTGCAACCACCTACTGAGCTTTTGAAGAAAGGGCTGTGCACGTTTTCGATGACTCCTGAAGTTAAATCAGCATTCCAAGGGGATAAGCAAGTTTTGTCCAAAGTACCCTCGCCCGCATAATTAAACAATGTTGACAGCGCTATTCTTGTATAGTGGACAGATGTCTCCCAAATAGCCTTTGGCGGCCAATCGCTACAGATTGCTAATGGGGTCAGACATCCGTTGTCATTTTTCTCTCAAAAGCTGCAACCACCAAAGACTCGTTACAGCAACTTTGGCCGTGAATTGCTTGCGATCGACCTTACAATAAAATGCTTTAGACACATTTTGGAAGGCAAAAGCTTCGTTATCTACACTGATTATAAGCTTTTGACTTATGCATCAGCTTCAAGCGGCGACCTTTATTCGCCCATGGAAACTAGACACCCTGACTACATCTCCAAATATATCACGGATATAAGGTAAATACAGTGATCCAGCAACTTCGTGGCTGAAGCACTCTTTCGCCCAGGCATCCTTCGAGGAACCGACCCAGTGGCATTCAGTCCGTCCGTGATAGCATAGGTTCAAAAGAATGAACAAGAACTACATAGCTGCCACTCATTGTCCTTTCTGATGTTGAATGATTTACCCCTACCTGACAGAAATGGTACATATGTTTGCGATGTCTCCACTGGTAAGCCTGCCCGTTTGTTCCCTGTTCCCTTCATTGCTTGATGTTTAGGCGTCCACATTCCATATCCCATTCTGGAATGCGCGTCTTCGTTAGACTTGTTTCTGATCATTATTTTTGGCAGAATGTGAATAGAGACTTCGTTTTTGGTGTAGAGCAGACATACCATGACAACGGAGCATTTTTTCGTCGGCTTGTACTTTCCTCTTCCGTCCAAATACCCATAAACAATGCGCTTTTTTCTCGTGTCCACTTAGATTTTGTTGGTGCCTTACCATCGGTCGACAGATACCATTTTCTCCTCACGTGTGTGGATCGTTTTACGCGTTGGCTCATAGCTGTCCCTATAGGAGGCGTCTCCAATGAAACAATTCCCAAAATGTTTTCACACCACTGGATTTCTGTGTTTGGCGGTTTACCTAGGATCACCATAGACGGAGGTGCACAATTTCAATTCAAACTTTTCCGTGATTTTCCTTCCGTCGTTGGATTTCAACATATTCGTACAACTGCATATCACCCAGCTTGGGCGGCAGTCTATCAGGGCCACACGGGTTATTAGGCCGAAGCTGAGACGATTACTTTTATACTTTGAGGAGATTAAAGAAATGACTGTTGGGTACAAAACGGCTTTTAGCATCGAAAGTCGAAGATGATGCCATGTGCTTGTCACTGATGAAGTTCCGACTGAGTTATTCAACATCAACCGCTAGTGGACGTTTCTTTAGGTTTACCGATGAGCGGTGTGAGAACTCTCCAAGTATCGCGACTACTATGATATATCAGGAATGTCCGGACACACATGCCATTCAGTTTGTGTAGCTCGACCTCTATTGGCCTGGATAGAATCTGGACTAGGGCGTAATTTTCAGCTTTGTATGAACGTCCTTTTTCACGACGCAACTGTTTTATATGAAGAAATGACAGTCTTTCTGAATATATATATATATATATATATATATATATATATATATTGGTGATAACAAGGGACCTGTGACTCGAATGTTTGGGTTTGCACCGTAGAACAGAAGGGTTGATATGTGCTGAGGAATGAGCAAACAAATTTCACCTAGCTGTTTGTATCCCCGACTGAGAACAGTGTAGTTCAAATCAGGCAAACATGCTTGGGTTTAAATCCCACCGGGGTCGACGACTTTTAACATTCGCATCATTACGAAAAATTTCCAAACCCGCAAAACCAAAAAGTGCCTTCACTTATCGAACGTCAGCCGGTATTAGCCACATTTCAAGTTGCTGTATCCTTCTCTTCAACAGAGAGTGTGAATGCATGAGAACATCCTTTCGCAGGATTGTGGGAGTTTGTGACACTGATTTTGTGTGCACTGCTACTTCATTCTTTGCTGTGATGGGTCTTCTGTCCCCCCCGCAATGTGTTCTCGTGGATGTCTTTTATGAAATATCCGATAAATTGTGCTCTCACTTACTTCAAGTCCATGTGAGAAAATCCTAGCTCGCAACTTGACTTTCGCTATCTTTACTGAGATGCCGGAAAACTTCATCTTAACAGCTCTTTTTCTCATTATCGCGAAAGCAATATAAACGAATAATACAACCGAATGACCGGGGCTTCAAGGTTCACTTTGGTGCAGACTGGAATTACCCTCTTTGGTAAGTTAGACCGTTATCGTCCAGAAAAATAAATGAGCCACATATAACGTGAAATCCCTCAACTTCGAAAGAATTTCTTCTCGCCTTATGTGAGCATAAATATAAAAGCCATATTGACTAAATAATGGCTTCCAACGAGACATTCAGTAGAAAATCTTCCTGAATGTAAACGAGGAGAATTCACGTGGTCTTGTTTACCAAACTAGATATATTTCCATACCCTGGTAATTCTGAGGTCATATGCTTTCAATTGTTCATAACGCAGTGAGAAATCAAGTTAAATAAAAGGAAAATATCAATGAATTCAGATAATTTTTGATGCTGTTATATACCTTAATTGGGCCCTGAAGCTGAAACTATATACAGCAAGCAAATTTCAAAATGCCTTACCGTCGATGACTACAGCGTTTCGGATATGAACTACCATTGGATTTCGACGAATCTATTGAACACACAATATATTTGAAGATTCACCAGCCGAATAATCAATTGCTTTGATGGCTTTCATTTACATTCTATTCGATCAGAAAACATGGGTGATCTGTTGTCGCGAAAGCACGAGTTTGCGACACACTTGGTGAGGGCACGTGATCGGACGTGGTACGAACTGTATGTGCTTATCGAGGCCAATACACAACAACTGCTGTTCTATCGGACCAAGTCGGATTATAATAAGCAAGAGTAAATACAGCTTTTTCTTTCATTTTCTCATTGCATTTTTTCATGCCCATATCTGAGGTGAGTTCAACAAACTATCAGGAATAATCGGTTATTGTGATTTCGAGATTCTGAGTTTAAATCGGTACGAAGCCTCACGGTACTGTAGGAGGAAGTGAATCACGTTATAACAGAGTACTATTGGCGACCAAAATTTATCGATGATATGAGCGCGTTAGCACCTGACACGTGTGAGCCAGCAAACAAAGAGCTGTAACATTCAGACACACTGCTGGTCGTCCGCAAAAGGGAAATTGAGAAGCTCCTAGTCAAGCAATAGCCAAGCCGGTTATTTGGAGTTGTGGGATGTTTGGATGGATTATCAAGTGATTCCCATTGAAAGCCTTGGAAGTACATCTCTACAATAATTTCATTTACTTTGTTCGAAAACATCAGCGGTGTTCATCCACAAGCCCCATCGGTGAGCTGTGCGTTGTTACTGCATGACAAATAATTCAATGAGTTCTGTTCTCCCTCTACTCATAAGGATTGAGCAATCATGCTCTGTAGGTTGTAGTGTATTGATTTGTAGTAACTCAGGATTCCCACAGAGAACTCCTCCATCAAGAGAGTCGATTGCTCTAAAAGCAGCGGTTTGTTACCGTTTAAATGTCAGTGATTAAAGAACTGCACGCAATGTAGTTGTGATGGCAAATTGAGATCCGGCTCAGATATCCTGGTGGTTGGGTGTTCGACTCGTAGTTGTTTACCCTTGGGGTTGGAGTCCCAGTGGGGCTCGGTGGATATGCACCTCTGAAGATTCCTAACAAGATAGATAGAACAGATGTGCAGTTGTGCTTCCATGGTTCGCTTGGGTGAGCTGAGTTTTGCTAGTGCATGACAAATCATTTGATAATTATCAAGTGGATGATTTCAAGGTGATCAAATGTGATAGCAAAATTGTTCAGATCGCCAGTTTGCTGTCTCATTATCGAATCACATGATCTGATTTCATCCATGTGCGTGAGTTTGGATACTAAAGCTTTTATCTATTATCACTTCGATGATGACTCAGTGTCCAGTGCACCAACATATCTTGTTTCGGTTGACAACTAAGTTCCATTCCCAGGAGAGGCGTCTCAGCTGGAAACTATAGACAGTAATTCTTGTTAGGGCTTCCGTAGTACACGTTATAGGTCATAAAATAATTCACCACCGTGTCCATGTGGGTATGGGCTGACACACAGCCAATAGACGGCCTGGTTCAGTGGCAGGCAGCACGCTTTTGCCAGTCCAGATTCCAGGGCTGTGTCGGGGGCTGCGAAGTAGACAGCACATGATCGGCTGTCCAAAGCCGCAGACGAGTGAGGCCAACCAAGTGGAGCAATCAACCAATTAGCAGCTGTCTTAGCTCTGCACTGGCCAGAGCTGAATCAACTATCACAGTTCCATTAGACAGACGTGCCGTTTAGGATTATCAGTGGACTTTCATGCATGGTTTTGTTTACAATAGCTATATATCGTGTGTGTAAAATGATGTTTTGCACCAATAAACCAAGACTTTTCGAATTCAGTAGAGCTACTGGGCGGCTACGGAAAAGGGTCTAAAAGCCCATCCGAAAAATGAAAAAATAGAAACAATGAGAGTACAGCTATTTCATTTCACTTTTTCAGGATCACCAACTGCGGTGCATGTGCACCATGTCCTAACTTATATTCACATCTCATATTCGAAGTCACCTTCATCAACACTATCTCCGTGCTTCACCTACACGAATCACTGAGCCGTGGTAATAAAGACACATTTTGTGTGAGCTTTACGATTGCAGGTCGAGCACTGTGGCATGCTGGTGTGCCACCGTGGCTGTCTATCCAAACTGAAGCACACCACGAGCATCACGCAAAATAGCTCAAGGTTAATCTGGCTGATTATTTACCGTTCACGTTCCATCACGTGACATGACAAAATATTGCTCTTTACAGAATAAAAAGCCCATTATACAGGGAAAAAGGATGAAATTTTTGATTTGTACAACTGTTGCTTTATTTATTATGATATCCAATTTGTCGATGTCTAAAGTCTGCAATATTATCTACCCCTTTTCACATTCGTGTGCTGATTAAAGCCCGTTGGCTCATACATTCCACAACGAACTCGGCTTAGATTTAGGCAGAAATCTATTGACCGTTTCAGTCGCTACGGACTACACGAAACGTCCTCATGTTTTTCGAATTTTGAATTCGAATACTGGAGCATCGTACTTATTTCAAGTAAGTTTAATAACTTTTGAAATCATTTCTTGGGTCACATCTTATGTGCTCATTAGTTTAATCCTCGGTCTTGTTATTGGATTGCACGCGGCCTATACGATCGTTGCGCTGGCAATCCGATAAAAGGATCGATTTAAGTAATGCAGACCAACAAGCACACAAAAAGCTCACATCCTAACCAAGTCACGAAATCACGTGATCCCGGTTCTGTCCAGTGAAGACGTATCACGTGGATAGACATCTCATCAATAGCAAGCGATCTACTCACTCATGGTCTCCATGGTTTTTACAATAAAGTGCTTACAGACAGACATCACAGTGGCAGGTTTCCAAACCTCGAATTGCTCAGAGAATATTTGGATTTATCGAACGGTTTTTACTGGAATCTTCTGTTCGTAAACAGAAGCGGTTGTAATAATCGGTCGATACAAATAGCTGAGGCCAAAAAGATCAATATAATCAGAGGCATATGTTGTGATCGATTGGTTTATATAACCTCTAAAAATTGCTGATAATGTGAACAATTATATGGTAGTTTGCAATCAAATAAGAAATCCATAAACGAATTACCAAATTTCGATCCATTACGACTGAAAATCATTCATCCTTTTCATTCTCCAGGCTCCCAATAAGGAGGTGATGCAGCGCTGGATTGATCGACTAGTGTTATGGTGTCAGCCGCGTGGAACACACTCACCTCGTCCAAAATCTACCATGATTATTACACTATCAAGACCATCGGAAGAATACGATGGCCCGCCGGAACTACTTGATTCAACAGAACAAAGAGAGCGGGTAACAGACACAGCGCTGGACGGATCACCGATGGAATCGTCAGCATCCGTGACTCATTCAACAGGAGTATGGGGATTAAAGTCATTTGCATCAAAATTAGTGTTACGATGGCTCAAACTCAAACAAAGTCCACATTCAAAGGAACCGAAACCCGGAATCATTCAAAGCAGCATGACTCAAGTGATTGTGCCTGGGACTCGACCGACGAGTGCTTCAACTTCAAGAAGCACAGAGTTGAAGCGATTTGGCTCTGCCAGTTTAAAATTCGGTTTAATATCCAGATCTCAGACACTTCCATCCCGGTTCGGTTCCTCAAGTGGGTCGGGGATTGGCACTTCCAAAAGCTCTTCCTTCCTTTGCCCTGGACGGCCAAAGCCTAGCAAAAAATCACCAGCTGCAATAGAAAATTCACAAATGGAACGATATGGTGCCAAACCCAGTTTTACACTAATGCCTCAGGAAAATGTGAATGGAGAGGCTGTTCTACTTGAGTCAGATGATCAAATTATTGACGATGAAGAGTCTAAAATTCAGTAAAATAAATACCAATTTGCAACAGTCACGCACAGTTTACACCTACTTACTGTTTGCTGTCTGATTTCAGCCCAAACCACAATTTATGTGATTCCTTGACTGTGCATAGGCTTTATTCAAGCCAATATCCATGCCTCTGCCTCTCACGGCCAGAAAGCATTTATTTGAGATTCCATTAGGTTGATGAACTGTGTGTATACATGCATTTACGTATCTACGAATACATTTTAAAATAGCTACCAGAGTAGACAGATTTTTCTGTTTTTCACATAGGACTTTGTGTGATTAAGGATAAAGGCACTGCTACACAGCCTTCGTGTTTCTTCCGACATCCACAGACTTTGTCTTGACTGACTACTCCATCCAAAGGGTGATTTTTGGTGTTTATATTTCATCGATTTGTATCGGAAACTGGAAGAAGAAAAGGCGCATAATTACAACTGATTCAGTGGGTCTGACGTATCGGATTATCGCTTATTGAAATATTGAATTGAGGAAAAATGACATGGCTGCTCCGCTAATGGAGGTGAGCGCATACTGACACACAGCTGTGAATGCGCATTTAGACTGTATGAATGGATCACCATCACATATGGACGCAAACTTCGAATTTGTAAACGCGGTTGAATCATGCACACGGCTTAGGCTAGCATGCCCAGGTGTGTCTGCGGCTCGCTGAGTCAGAATGACTGGATGAACTAGTCAGATTGATAGACAGCGTCCATCATTAGCGTCGATAACTGAAACGGCGTTTTTTCTGAGGTTAGCCGTTGGGACGGCTTGGTATACCACTAAGGTGACTGCCTTTTTCCCGGGGAGTCCAAGGGTGCCTCGTGTCGGTGATGGTCAGAGAACGATCAACTGATCCTTTTCTGGACTAAAACAACCTTATTATTTATCTTAACTCTCTCAATCTAATAACAAACGGCACAAAAAATATCTACGTGATACATTTTCCAGTCATTTTACTGGTTAAGTAGCCCGATATGAAACAAGTGTTCCACTGTCTTCAACCTGTGATTTGTGGCGTGATTAGTAAGCGTTTTCAGTGTACTTCATGGTTCATTCAGTTACAACTGAAGAAAATTATGACTATATGTGGATATTTGTTTTACAGCTCTAACAGTCACAGGACTTGAAGATGTTGTGCAGTCACATAAATTTTAGGTAACGAATAACGCAACCTTGTCTTAAATGTATATGCTCATGCGGGATTCCCTTTACTGCGAGTAACCTTCCTCCGGACAGATTCACAATCGATCACGCAGGTGAACCAACAAAAGTCCTCAGTTTATCTAGACTCTCAAGGGTGCAAGCATCAGTGGAAACAGTTAGCAATACGTGCGGGGAGTTTGTTAAAAAAATTGCTTTTACAATAAACTTTGGGCTACGGATGTACAGAACTATGATCAGAAGTGCTAATTCGGGGCGGACTTGGGTGATCCAACTTTATCACGATAAGTGAGCGCACATTCATGGAAATACTACTAACAGGGCCGTGGAAATGAGTCTGCTTTCTGAAACCCATTCTGGTTGAAACTCGCATTTTTGAATCGATTATTAGTGAATACCAATTTCGTTAATCCTAATTTCGTACATACAATCTGACGACCTTTTTCAGCTGACACAGGAAATACCGAAAAACGAGCTACTGCTAACGTCACCAGTAGTCAAAATAGAAATACAAAACTCAAGGTAGTTCCAGTCATCGGTAAACATCTTGTACATAATGCCCATGTTAGCGCATCCGATCCAGCGATTTGAATCGTTATTTATCCTACGGATAACAAAAGCACCAACCAGGTTTTGACTGCAGATGATGTTATCCGAGAGGAATGTCTTCGTCTGTCCCTCTGATGAAAAGCAATCAGATTTAGCATACGACCTTCGTAGCAACTCATCGGAAACCCTGGCCGTATCACATTTATTCTTGGTTAGTTTCTCATAGACTCCAAAGGAATCAGTGTCATTTGCTGTTTTCGTCCTTTACTAGTTTCTAACACTGAATCGGTAATCATACTGGACCACTGGTTGAGTCGAATAATTGGCCTCACTGCCTTCCAACTGTCCCAGTAACCATTACGGGAGAGTTGCGTGCAAGCATGTTCGACTTTTTTTTATTCACTTTGCTGTTTGCAACTCATTTTCCTCACTGACGGACGTTGAAAGTAAGTTGAGAATTTCAACCTCTCAGGTATATTTGAAAGCACTGGATATCCGAAAATTTGACGACTCTGGGTGCCTCAGAGCGCTCAGTAATTTGGCGTTCTTAACATTTCGAATGTATCACTCATGAAAACACTGGAAATACTAAACAGCTGTTTTCCTTTCGTTAGGAATCAGCAGCAGCTCACTTTGAACCAGTCCCAACTGAGATTAGATGGCGAGATGAAAGACTGCAAGCCGAACAGTTAAGAGCCGGTAATATACGTGTTGTCTTTCAATATACGACCTACAACATAGAGCATCCTTTCGTCACTGACGTTGAACGGTTACAACTTGACCGCAGAGCCGTTTACTTCGATGAAGAATGTCATTTCCGTTGACAGCCCATGTTAAACGAAGTCATCAAGTCACGTAAAAAGTAGGAGTCTGGTGACTGGATCGTTTTAAACGGTGGCATAATTATTCGTTGTATGAAATGATTCATCGTGCATTGAGAACACTCAACTCAACTTAGAAAACCAAGAAAGCACTGCACTGCTGTTTCGACCTTGCTGACGATCGTCAACACTTCACAACTGCGGAGACCTAACTGAGATTTGATACCAAGATGGAGGATTGCGAGTCGAACACCCTGCCACCGGGCTTTACTCGTGTTTCGGTCAAGTTCCCATGTTGGGTTAGCGCCTTCCATCTTTGTTTGTGAGATCGCTAAGTCAAGGGCTCCGGTAAGGGTCTCCGAAGAAAATCCTTTATGCGACTCTATTTTCACATGAATGTACAAATAATTCACTGTGTAAAGGACACTACTAATCCTCTTTGTCTTGACTTAGATCGACGGAGAACACAACCGTTGATTGCGGCTCCTTTGAAACAATCGTTCAAGACTAAGGCATAGATAAACACAGTTCTCAGGTTTACGCGTTCACTTCATTTGGTGGCCTACAACATTCTACCCCCCTGTCAGATAGGGTAAAATTCTGTTCTGGATGGAAATGTTGAAACTTTCAAAATGGATCTATGCATTGTCACCAAAGCGAGAACACAAGATTACACTCCTGCGATTGCATTGCTCACACTGGACACAAACTCAGTCTCAAGATTCACCTTCCTACTGTCTGATGATTCGGATCTAGTGCTCCTGGTCAGGCTGAGGTCAGGATCTCTTTGAGCTCGAGATCTGAGCGTGCAGTACTAGACTGATGCTTGTTCAACAGTGGATTGTGTGAATTTTTGCCGTATGGTTTTGCATGTACCAGTTTCAACTGACTGAAACGTCTGAGCTTGCTCATCGTGTCCGTGTATGGGCCCACTGAATGCAGGTTCTTTCAGGTTAGGAATTATTTTATCGGGGTTTGTTTCAGCTGCTTTGGAGCTTGCTTTCAGTGGACGTCGTGCTGATAGTGGACGGACATCACTCGAAGGTAAACTGATCGACTGCTTCGAAAACATCAGTTTCATCTTTTTCCATACTGTACTCAAAGTGATTAAGCACAAGTCCCTTACGGATTACCCCGGAAAATTTACGTTTTGCGAATGCTCTTTTAAGGCCAGACTCTATCCCATTTGACTATAGCTCTGCAAATTTTGATTTTAATTTCAAGACCATAGGAAAGATACTTTGAATCGCCACCCTCCCTTACACTCTGGTTAGTTTTTATGTATCATTACTGAGTGTTTCCTGATTACGATACGATTCTGCATTCGATTATTTTCCGAGTTTGATTATTTCACTTTCATTCTCTAGGAATTCCGCGGATGCTGGATCACTCATTCTGCTAGTGACATAAAAAGTGATGAAAATCGATTCTGCATCAAGCACGCAGCTGCTCACTTGACTCGCACAAAGCTACCAAGCGTCGTAACTGGGATCGAACGCTTACATGTGACGTAACCTTGCACGGCACGGGTGTGTCGGCAAGGTTTGGTTACTCTTTCCTAGGTTTCATTCGGTATGCAACCGTGAGCCGTCACTAAACGATCGCCAGTAAATACTAAAATACAGAAGAAATTGCGTTTTGTGAGGTTTATCTGTTATGCGTTGTTTCCATGTTCTGAAATGTGCAGTCTTCCATACTTTCTGGCTTTATACTACCAGATATTAAAGACGATTCACATTAAAAATTTTACTTAATACCCTAAGGAAATTTTCCAAAGCTGAATGAATCTTATTTTGCATTTGTTTGTTCTCAGTATACGGTGATACCTTGCGCTGCTTAATCACGCTGGATTTAGTGCTGGACGAAAGAAGTCCAACGCGGATGCCGCTACTCCCTCGTCGATGCACTTTAGTCCATAGACAATACTCGTTTTGCGCTTCAGGATCTCAAAAACCGATCCACCAACTAAAACAAACTAAAATGTTCCTCTGAGGTTATGTTACCCCTACTGAGCTCCCATTACGCGCCCTGTTTTTTGCCTCTCTCTCTCTCGAATTGCTTAGTGCGACAACTCCGATGACCACAGACACTATCGCACCAAAGTCCTAACTGCGGTTACTTTTTAACCTATGGAAACAACCTCTAGTCGACTGTGCCCATTTGCTGAACGTGGAGGGCTCAGTAGCTACCGCTAAGCAGTTAGCAAGTGAATCAGACGCTGTGTTCGGATGAACAGTCGTGCTCAGACAGACAGTCTCGCACGCACACAGACACACAGACACACACCGCACACACTCGATCCACATCCCTCCCAAACATGGTCACACCCTCCAGTCATAGACACGCAAAAATATTTGAAATCAGTCCTGCTTCGTCCCGAACGGCACTGACCAAACGGACTGTACCGCGGGTTGACCGAACTTGCCTGGCCTAATCCGATTGTACACCTGGCTTTCAGGGAGGTACGACACTGACGCACGCACTTGACTAGGTGTTTGCGTTTTCACTTGCTTGCCCGTACTTGCGTTTACCGCATGTAGGTACTGAATACACGTTCATCCGTGCGAGTGTACTTTCTTTCTGATTACGGAATTTTGGGATGCAACGGATGATCTATACATTTCCTTTGCCGGTGAGTAAACGTCAAGTTATAGGAGCTATCAGAAGCTGCACCGAAAAGCAGAGCAGAGCTTTGATTAACTCCGCAGAATTCCGTAACTCTATAGGATATGCGCTTCCAGATTACACGCCATTGCGATTAACCCAAAGAAGTTCAGGGAAGTTAGAACAAGAACGAGTAGGAGCGT